CTTTCTTCTATTATTGGTGCTGTTTATGTGGATTGAGGAAAGTAGTCTGCATATACTCTAGGCAACTTTCACGAGAGCGGCTCCTTAAAAGGAGTAATTGCAAAGAGAGGGGACAGGCCCCGACAGCTAAAGTATACTGGAGTATATACAAGTCACAAGGATTTGCAAGATGTTTGCAGATGACTGCACAGAGCACATTTTACGTGTGAAAAGAGATTATTAGGTTTATCATGCAAAGAGGAAAAATATGGCGCTAAGAGGATCTGAGGGGAGGGGTGTCTGACATGAGAGAAGTGTTAAATGTATACGTAAAACATACACTATTTGCCCAAAAGAAGTCAAGAAGACTGGGGGGAAACTGTATGTGGACGTGCTTTGTGCTGTGTTTCAAACACACTGAGCTGTAATCTCAAAAGGGTCCAAAATCCAACCTGGGAGTCAGTTTTCTCTGTCTCCATCTAGTGTTTCTGGCTGAACTAACTTTCTGAGCCCGGGGAATAAATAGAAAGCCATCGCCTCCCTTTTCCTTTAATGTTAAAGAACAAAACATGTTTAAGAAAAACATAAACTCAGCCGAGAAGACGGAAATCCAATCACAAACTGAATGTTTCTCATCAATAGCATGACTGCGTGTGGACGCACATGCGACTGTGCCTGAGCCCTCTGAAATACTGAGCCCGAATTGACCTGATCATTAGAGGGAGGAAGAGGCTTGACCTGATATTTCCTCTGTTGTTTGGTCAGGAAAGGGACGTTATTGTAAAAGGCCTGTAAAGATAAATAGCCCTGGTGTTGCCATGGCAAAGGCACAAACACTGGTGGTCAAAGACAAAAGAGCACGAGACAATAAATCCGACTCTGTCAATTTTGTTTAGTTTTCAAAGTGTTTTTCAGGGAAATATGGTTTCAAAACAAGAGGCCACATCCATTTTTCCACAGAGAAAGGGAAATCAGATCTTTTTTTTTTCTGAACAGGCCACAGTTTCATCTTGTACATTTTTTTTCCATGGCCACGGCATCCTGATTAGTAATAGGAATATCTGACACTGTATTTTGCCTTTGAGTCAGGAAACTCCTTGTACAGCTGTATACATGTTTTTATAGCCTTTGGAAGAAAGGGTATTGTCTTTAAATTCCTAAGAAGGCTTTATCCAGCCTTCAAATTTTAAGTGGAAAACCATCTTAGGCTCTATTTTTTCCACAAGCTAAACAATGACGAGTGAACATACACCTATGCCTTGTTCCTCAGGTCAAACCGAGTTCACCTCATTAGAACAATCCCGGCTCAAACGCCGCCATCGGTGATTCTCATCTCAACGGCATAAAACAACAACAACGAGGGAACTCTTTATTTGAGGATGTTCCTTAATTACCTAAAAAATATCAGGTCAAAGCCTTTTACTTGGAACGTTTGCTGCTTTTTATGTCATCAGCCAATCACCATCTAAAAAAAAAAAAACCCTCCGTGGCTAGTCTCTCTACCCCCACCCCCCTTCCCACACACACCCATCCAACACTTTCCATCTTCTCACAGTCAGGGTAGACGAGCCTCATCAGAAGCAAGGTGCGATGAAGAGCGGCCTTATCACTCCAATACAAGAGCAAACACGGGAGTCTTTACAGCACGTTGTCTCAGGAAGCAGTGCGCGGCAAGATTACTGCCCTTTAAGACGCCCTAAGACACGACCAATCCTAAGTAGTCCTTTATCTTGACAGTTTGCAGCTCTTTGTTTGCCTTTTCTGTGAAGCCTGGGGATAAAAGAGCAGCCTCTGTGAGCTGTGTCTGATTAGGATCTAATTGTTAACATTCACTGTCTTTTTTTTTTATTATCATCATCAGGCCGGTGTTGCCATACATGCAGCAGGTAGAGGCCTTTTCGGTGTTATGAAGGACTCTTCCCTTGCTGCTCTCGTGTGTTACTCAAGTACTAGTTAGCACGAGGTGGCAGAAGAGGAGCCCCCAGCTCGACATCAACAACAACAACATCAACAAACAGGAATTGATGGCGAGTGTTTATTATCTGGTTTAATTGCTCCTCATCTGGAGGATCTGACAGTTGCGGTTAATGAGAGAGGGAGAGGAGGCACACTCGGTTGGCAGCCAGTTTTCACAGTGTAAGACGTGTAAGTGTGGGTGTGTGTCTGTGGTGAAAAGAGGATAGCTCACATTCCAGCTCAGAAGCGAGTAACACAGAAGAAACATCAAACGGGCCTCGTCGAATTATCGAAAGAGGCCTCCGAATCAGGAATTTCAAGTCCACACCCAAACGCATACACGCTCTTACTGCAAACCTGCGTTCGCGGTTAGATAGATACACCTGTACCTGTACCGACAAACACCGGTCTTATCCTCCGCTGCAGGCTGAGTACGGGAATCGGATCCGAGCTGAGACAGGATTTCTCTGAAATCGAGCCTCTTCCTCAGTTTTTCATCTGGCCTGCAGCACACCTGGCTCATGTCCAACCAGGGACCTCCCTGACATTGTGCAGTGTCACGCACTCGCATCCAGGCATGGTCTGACAGAGGAAACATCAAGAAGCAGGAGGCATTCGAGCAAGTGGGGATGCTCAGAGAAGGCCTGGAACACGGAATAAGGCTCTCTCCTCGGAGAAGGATGTACTTTTACTGTTAATTTTTGCCCCACAACCCAAAGCCAGACGAACACATTAACACAATATAAACACACGCACCACCAGAACCACACACAGACTCGTTGTCCCATTCATAAATTCCTCCTGTTGAGAAACACGGGCATTTTTAAACAGGGCATACCCGCCCCTTTTACTATTCCAGCTCAGCAGGCCCACATGGGAACAATTAGGGGTGTACGCAAGTTTGGCGAAGGTCCGTAGCAACCAGCTGCATCTGTTTTTATTTACCTTTCTGCTCTGGTGCTGGATAATGTCATGAGCACATCTGCTACTGTACAACGTAACCGTGGTTGCATGCGTGGTTGACCCATGATTCTGTAATTACCCGCTGAGCGAGATGAAGAGGCCCAACAAACCACTCAAAGCCACACATAGCCTTCCTCTCCCCCTCTTCCTCCCTCCCTCCCTCCTCCCCCCACCGTGTCTCTCCAGTGGCATTAAACTCCGTCTGCCTGAGAGCTGGTAGCTGATGCTGAAGTGGCATTTAATGACTCAAAGTTGTTCACAATAGTAATTCTGACTTCATTTTGATGTCATTAGATTACCACTTTCGTTCTATTATGCAGGATTAAAATGTGGTTGTTCTGCAGTGGGACGAGACTGATCACATTCCCTCATCTGTTTGCTTGTTTGTGGTCATGCAGAACAAGCTGCACAGTCTTCTTGCTGGCCCACTTTAAAGGTCTGAACTAGAAAAATGTCATTTTTGTAGCTCAAATAAGGAGAAATAAATAATTTGCTCCACAGCATGTGTCTTGCTTAAAAAATTGTGGACAAGCGGTCATGCAAGGAGGCTCAGAATAGTCAGAGATGGTAAATTTATGTCTCTGTAAGGTTTCACACTTCTGTATCAAATGAGGGAAAGTTTCGCCTACTTTACTCACATGTTTTGTTTTTATATATATATATATATATATATAATCCTGAAAGTTCACACTATTAAGCATCTTCAGGCAGCAAACTCAAAGCGACCAATCATGACAGAACTTGTTTATAATAATGATGAGTGATTATGAGCAATAACAATGAAGACCATATATGGATCACTTCACAGAGTCTGTGTGTGTGTGTTCGTGTGTATATGTGTGTGTATTGGGGGGAGGGGGTGGGGGGGTGCCACCACGCTTAGCATATCCCAGATGTGCAAACCATATGCTCTGACTGAAATTAAAACAAAAAAGAAACAGTGAAACATGAAAGGGATTTTTAACTTTGTAAAGACAGTTAACAGTCGATACAGATAGGCTAATGGCCGAGAGAGGCCACATGAAAGAACCGGGGATGTTGGCATGCTTTTTGCACCACTTATTCCATTTCCTGCTCATAAGTTCACTGAGCAGATGGGAACCAAAGGCACAAGGAAGTTTAGATTTTCTGCCCCACAGACCGTTGTATATGATGCATGTAACTGCGCAACACCGCACGGTTATCATTTAGAGACGCTTTGGTGCATACCGGGAGGTCACAATAACAAAGGTGGAAAAAAAAAAGCAGTGGGACAAAATCGAAACCTCTTCAGCTATTTTGATCTATACCAGTAATTCTGTATGGGTGTTACATTTAAAGCACTCAAGTGAATAAATTTAACCCCCCCTTTCTATACTGCATATTGGATTTTCAAGAGTTATCTTATGATGAATAAAGTTCATTTAATTGTGCACACATAAAAAAAAAACTAGCACTGAATCTAGGTTTACTTTAAAAAACAAAAATTAAAAAAAAAAAAGGTCAAACTGCTTAATTTGGAAAAGAGCATCTGGAGGCAGGCTGTGACCCATCAGGAGTCTACTGAAAACATGTTGGAGAGTGCCCTCTGCTGTTGGTTTAGCGTACTGCAACGAGGGGAGCGACAGCTACAGCTGACATTACAGTAAATCAGAAGCTAAATTTGATCTGTTGTTGAAAAGAAAACAGTTTTTAAACACATAAAATTGATTCTACCATCTAAGAATCTTAGAATGACCGCTGACAAGCAATCTGTGAGCTTTTATTATGACTTTCTGTGATTTGAGTTCAAGTTGCTCTGAAAGGTGGCATCAGCTAACACAAGGTCTTCTCTTCATCAGCCTGTTTTGCTGCTCGGAAAGAGACGTGTTTATTTAACGCCTGCCTTTGTCTGAGTCTGGATAATGTCCACCCTGAGGCAATAGCTGGCAGAGGTCTGACGGTAATTCTGCTTGCACTGTATAATCAGCCTTCACTGACCACTGCGTCACCTTTCATGACTGCAAACAGATGTATGTGGTACCAGTTGGGTTTAAAAGGAAAAGGAGTAAAATAGGCCTTAAAGTAATTAAGATATATTACTTGAAGAATAATTTGACTTAACTAAATAAATAAATCGAATCCTACCAAATCCACTGCGGTTTTTTCTCCTTTTGCTGTTGTTCGTTCCTACTGGTTGTGTTGAGTTCCTGGTGCTCTTCATCAGGCTGAGCCAGCGTGGTAAGAGACATATGTGGTGTTTGGGCTGTGGCTGCTGACGTAAGCAAGTCTGACTCTACAGAAACATTTGTAGCTGCATGTAGAAAATCAAATAAACTAGTTGTATTCGTGTTAATGTCGATACTGGTGCCATTATCCAACACTGAAGTAGACACATCATCCCTTATTATCTCGTCAGCGTGGATATTAAAACTGCGGCCCTCTCTCTGCATGTGAGGAAGGTTAGTTGTGGGAAACTTTGCAGGCTTGAACGAATCTCTCTCTTTTAGGTTTTCTTCTGGGATGGTGACGAGGTCGGGCAAAGGCTCGTCCGTAGTTACAGTCTCACGTGTAGAGTCGAGTGTGGACGGGCTTATGTTGTTTGGGCCAGGAGAAGATGTGACATGTGATGATGTGTTTTTAGGTGCAGCTGTGGAGATAATGGTGATTTCAACAAAGGTGAGATTAAACAAGAACAATGCCACAATTTAATGACTGGTGCAGTGAATTCTGGCTTACAGGGATTGTGAAAAAACATGATTTGTGACAATGCAGCAAACACAGGTTTAATAATGAAGTTACACGAGTGCGATGTGAAAATTTGAAGCCACATTTTTTTAAAACAATTATTTCTACATTCTCAGCAGTAGCTTAACTGACACAAAACTATTTTAGAAATCTTAAAATATATCTATTAAGGATCTTTTTTTTCCCATGTTTTAACATTTTCATATTAACAAAACACTATAAGAAGTGGAACTGCAGGCTCACAATAACTGTCCACAGGGATGCATCCAATCATCCAGTTAAGATCTCTTTATTGCATTGTTACGACATATTTTGAAAATATATATATATATCTTGGATCCAATTTCAGAAGCATGTTGTGTCCCTATACACTCCAGGCACTTTGTTAAGTACACCTGCTTGTTAAAGAAAATATCTCATCAGCCAGTGAATGTAGCTGTGTAGCCATGTTTAGTGTGACCTGATTAGGTTCAAACCAAATCATTAGAATGGGGACGAATGTGATTTAAGTGACTTTGAACGTGGCGTAGTTGTTCATGTTCATGTTCATGTTCATGGGGTTTACACAGAATGGTCCAAAAAAGAGAGAAGAATGGACAAATAACAGTTGGTTGTAACCTAGGTATGCAGAAAAGCACTTCTGAACACATAACACCTCAAACCTCGAGGCAGACGGGCTACAGCAGTAGAAAACTACAGGAAGTGCCACTCCTATCAGCTAAGAACAGGTAACTGTGGCTGCAAAGGCAAAATTTTCAACACGGCAGCCAAAAAAATGCCCCAGAGCCAGAAAGCAGGAGAAGCTCAGTTAACACCGATATCAATCGAGCACATCCCTCAATTTATATTACACAGAATCAGTGACACCATAACATTAAAGTGGACAGATTATAAGTCACACTGTAAGTTCAAGTCCTGGTTCTAGCTTGTGACCCAAAGCCTAACTGTATGCATGCAGTATGTAGTTCCCTCATGAACTGCATTTTAGCTGCAAATATTTACTCAATCATTTTTACTCTCCACTGATTCAAAGAGGCATCTTTTCTGAAGGGTTCTGATAGCAGAGGGGTACGCTAGCAAATATATGACTTGTACTTCCTGACCTTGCTCCCTGTTATTTGTGGAAAATGTGTGCAAAAGCTGTTGATGTTAAATATTTATCCATTTAATTTTCTGCAGGTGTCTTATACAGTAGTAAATCAGTGCAGCGGCATTTTAAATTATATTTAGTGAGCCAAAGGAAAAAAGTGGTCCTTAAAAGAAGAAGGAGAGAAGAGAGCAGGATGAATATACAGCCAGGACTTTAGACTTCGGTGGCTCGAAAGATGAAGTGGTGATGGTTGAGTAGTTTTTCTTGGTGTTTTTTTAAAGGATTGAAACATTTTTAACACTCATATGCTGAAAATGTGCAATCACATTGTGATATATCTAGAAATTGTTCCACTGAAAAATAATTGTTTAAGGAGGGATTTTAAAATGAGTGCTATTGATATTGATATGACTGATTATTGCTATGTGATATTATTTTTATTTAATTTTTTAAACATTCTTTTGGAGGGGTGCAATGAAGAGTGGGAAATGTGAAGAGAGAGCGTAGGGCCATGGGTCAGAGATGAACCTAGACTGGCATCCAAAAGAGGATCCAACCCTGTACAGACAATGTGTACCTAATAAAGTGTCTGATGTGTGTATATTGGAGTGTTTTCATTAGCAGGATTGAAACATTAAGCGTCTGGCTGAGCAACAAACAAGAAGTGCCTGGTGTGACTACATTAAATGCCATGGTCAAGAAAACATCCAATAATTGATCACCTCTTTAGTTTTTACTGTGCTCATCAGCAGAAAACTCACCTATGCATGGCAGCGTGCTCTCCATGGTCCAGTGCATTTTGTGATTTGTCTCTCTGAAGGTGAGCACAGCATCCACCCTGTAGAACGGCTGCAGGAGCCGGTTGTCATCTGTGCAGGGCTGTAAAATAAACCTGGGTTAGATGTGTTACTCTTTAATGAATCCTCAAAGCCGCACAGTTTACTCATGTTAGTGTATGCTTTGACAGCCATGCACTACTATTTGGAGTCATACAGGTTTGTGTTTCAGCACTAACCTTTGTCTGGAGTATTTGGGCTGTGGGAATGGACAGAGTTACAAATTCACTCGTCTCATGCACTGTGAAAGTAACTGTCTGGATAACTGACAGGTCACTGAGTGTTAGTGCTTCATTGTGATCGGTGCCTCTTCTGGTCAAACCCATTCGGCGTTTGAGGATGTGCAGCACAGTCTTGTCTGCCGTGGATGCGTTCACTGAAATAAAATAAGATGTGTTAATGTGGTTAGTTAGTAACAAGTAATTATATTTGATGTATCTGTTTATAAGTATTTTCACTTGTTGCCAATTTCTATTTGATTACATTTGCACATTTGCTCTGTATTTTTTTAACATATATATATATATATAATGAGATATACGATGAGGTTGATACATTTTTGGACAATCATAAGTGTTTTTTAAATTTTGCTTCTCTGCACCATCACAGTGGATTATAAACCAAACAATCACCATGTGGGTAAAGTGCAAACTTTCAAATGGTTTAACAAAAATATTGCACAATATGTTTTGGAAATCAGCCATTGTTATATACAGTCTCCTACTTTCAGATGCTCAAAAGTTATCGGACAGTGGACTGGTAAAGCGTTTCGTGGCCTATTTCCTTATTGTTCAAAGAGCCTGACAACTAAAGTGGTTGACCACAGAAGTGCATTACATTTACATTGTTCAAAGAAAAGCAGCTTCATTACATCTAATGAACTCAAGAATGAGTCTCAAAGAGGTAAGCTTGTCATTGTTAAAGTCCACAATCAAGAGGAACCGTCATTAATGTAAATACAGAGGATTTACAACAAGGTGCTAACCACTGGTTAACCTCAAGAAGAAGTCTGGATTAGACTTTGTCAGAAAACATCTAAAAAAGCCTGCATGGTTCTGGTAAAATCAAGATTTGGTAAACTTCTCATACTGTTCCTGTTCTCATCATTCTGGTAAACCTGTACCAGAATGATGAGAATCGGAACATTATGCAGAATCAGAGGTAACAGGTCGAGGCAGTGTTTTGGTATGGATGTGTATGACTGCCACGGACACTGAATCACGAGTATTTTCTGATGATGTGACTCCTGATAGAAGTATGAGGACGAACTGTGGATTGATAATGATGCAAAGTAACCCAAGAGTTTCTCAATGGAAAGAAATCTGATATTCTTCAATGGTCAAGTCAGTCACCTGATCTCAACCCAACGCAGCATGTTTTTTAGTTAAGAAATACAAAACTGAAGGCAGAAAGGTCCACAAACAAGCAGCAACTGAAGGTGACTGCAGTGAAGACCTGGCCTAGTATCTCACTGGAGGAAACACAGCACTTAGAGAGCTCTATGGGCTCTAGATTTTACCCAGTCATTGACTGCAACAATCCTCGTGTTTAAAATCATGTTACTTTGTTCAGTTAATGTTGAACATTTGTATATGTTGAAGACTTTATATAAAAAATTGTTGTAATTCCTAAACAGTGCAATATTTTAGACAAACTCCTTTATTTAAGCTGGAGGTCTGTGCTTCAGTTACATCGTGGGGGTTTAATTTAAAATCGACTGTGTTGTGTACAGAGGCAAATTTACAAGAAGTGCGGCACTTTCAAAACTATTATTTCGTTTTCATCAGTCATCTGATGATTCCCACAGATTTAACTTGAGACCCTTTGGATCTGACCTTGAATCCACTGGACCAAGCTGAAACTTTGTAGCTTTAGTTCAAACTATGACCACATACAGAACTATTGTGAATACTTTGGAGTTAAGAATATTTTGGCTTTGGATTCAGGACTTTTACATTTAAATATTTTTAACATTTTTATAACTGATCCGTTCTCTTTAGAAGACAGAAAAAGAGCAAATGTCCCCACCCCACATGTTTTTATCAACATTAAACAAAAAATAGCCCAAGTGATTTTTACTGATGTAAAGGTCAGCACAGTGACAGGTTTTTGTTATTTTACAGAATATTAACCTTCTTCTTAAACTGCAAAAAAACATACTACATTTCTATAATAGATAGTGAAAAATTGTAGCTGTTGAACTGTAAAAGCTGTAACACAGATGAAAATACTGTTAAAAGTCCAACATTTATGCCCTCTTTTACATTTTCCAAAGCCACCCAGTGACTGGAGTCTGTGCCAGGCTGCTTCTGGCCCCCAGGCCTTGTGTTTGACACCCCTGCTCTAATTAAACTCAAACACTCACTATTGTTGTTGGTTAATTTTTTTTTTTTAAAGGAAAAATAACTTCCAGCTCCAATTCTGTCCTTGTTACCCACCTTTTGGACAAGTTGCTTCCATACTGTAGGCATATCTGTCTCTGACCAGCTTCAAATCCAAAAATTCCCCTTCATTTTCCATTATCTGTATTAACCAAACGGTAATTGAGTACATTTCAGTTGTAATACTAACAATAGTCACTAGGTGGCATAATGCTGTGTGAAGTCTCACGTTGACAGGCCTTAAGATCTCCCTCCTCCTGCCCTGAACTCTTATGTCTGTTACATTCACATCAATGTTCATCTGAATCAAGCTGGCATCCTCCAGAGCTACAAGGAGGTGATCGTCCAGACACAGCGACCACTGCAGCTGCAGCAAAAATCAGACAATAAATACCAAAAAAAAGTTAGACTTGCTTTCCAAACATTAAACATCTACAGACAAAATTGTGATCATTTAGAAGGTAATCAGAATTCCAGGCACTGAATGTAATTACTACCTCATTATCCCAGTTTCCATAGGGAATTTCTCTGATCACCTGAGGGCACACACAAATTATTTCTAGTAACAAAGCAAACCAATCCTAATATATAAATACAGTTAGGTTGAAATGTGGCAAAATGTTCATTGTTACCTGAACATATTCAGGGTCACAGAGGATTTGCTCTCTGCTTTGCACCACAGACATCACAGGGCACTTCATCGTGAAACTGTGATGCTGGCTTCCAAATCGATTCATCCTCCGCACCAAATTTAATGTTAAGACATTAAAGCCATTCTGAAAAGTCAATATAAACACAGATCATTATCACCACCAAGCCCAAGTGCAAGGCTAAAAGATTTGAGGTTGTAGATATGGATTGCATATTTCAGAAAAGAATGCCAAACCTGCTGCCGAACAAAACACCCGGTGTAGCTGACTCTAAAAACGTAGTTATCGTCGGGGTCGTTTTGCAGTGAGAATCCACAGGCAGACAGCTGGAGATTCAGGTGGTCCAGAGATGCAAGGTTGGCTTGTGAAAAGCAAGCAGCGGTTCAGAAATGACATGTTCAACATTAAATGAATGCTTTTTAAAGTCATTTATCTTGTCATAAAGATATACCTTGGATACTTAGCGCCCTCGACAGCCAGACCCTGAACTCCTCAATTCTTGCACTGTGCATCCACATCTCCATGTATTCAGGAAAGCAAACCACATCTTCTTCTGAAATTGCAGCAGGTAGATTTCTCACAAACACTAGGAACATAACAGCTTTAGCTCATAAGTGAATAAATGTTCACCTGTTAATCTTGCTGCAGAAGTTTGAATCCATTCTTGTTTCTGAATGAAAAATGCGCTCTTTGTGATAAAACACTGCAAAAAACTGTAGAAAAGAGCATCGAATGCAGCTTATATTTGAAAGACGATGTAGATATAACATTTATACATATCTCTGTTACTCACATAGCAAGGATGCCAACTCTGATGTGATCCATGGTGAAGTGATGGAAACGTCTGTGGATAGTCTTATTTGTAGGTGAGAGGTGGTGTCACTGGCCTGGATAGGTTAAAGCACAGGTGTGTTTACTTTGCTTTGTTAAAAGGCAAGTGAGAAAAAAAGCTTAAAAATAAAAGAACAATTGCTGTTTTGAGCATGTGTGAAAATAAACTTTACAGGATTGTGTCCTTTTGTGTTTGCCATCCATCATGAATTACCCCTTACACTTCCAGTGACCTCCTTTTATTAACCTTTATTGCTTTCTTGACATCGATGCAGAGATTGTTGCCCCTGTAATAAAATCTCACTTTACTTTACCTTCTATTAAATTGCGTCTTTAGGCACTTTGTTACTAGCAGCCTGTTGCAAAAACACATGATCATTTTATTGGTTGAATTTAGCAGGTAGAAATGGTATTTTACCCTGACAAGTTGATTCTCAAACTGCTGTTAGCCAAAAAAACGTCTTTTTTTTTTTTTGGCTTATTCTGTGTTGCAGAATAAAGGTTGTCATACCAAATGTTGACTTTCAAGCTCATAAGAATTGTGCATGCTCAGTGTTTGCCTTACAAACTGTATTTGCATGGATGTTTGCACATATTTTATTAATTTTCTGCAGCTATTTCCCTCTATCCTGTAAATTCTGTTTGTATGCATTTCGAAAACATTTTGTTCATTCATTTATGTCAGGGTACAGGGTTTTACGTACAGATTGTTAGGGAGTTAAATAAAAAAAATTCTAAAAAACGAATTGTAAATACAGTTAGAGTTACTTAACATTGAAAACGATTAGATTTGGTTCCTATTGTTTATTATTGTGTCAGTGATGTGCTTTAAAAATTACCACGAAGACCGGAAGTTTTAGTCTCTGTCTCTGTCTCCAATATCGGGCAATAATACTGGCTTACCAAAACATCGGTCGGGCTTTTCTTTTTTTTTTTTAATTTCTTCAAAACATTACACACCTTTTGTTTGGGCTCCTAGCTTCCTGTGAGACTTCAAAGGGTAACTCGGGAGCTTTATCCTTGGCACAAACAAGTTACGACACTTGATGAATGTAAAATAATAAGGAAGATTAGGTTTAACTTAAATTCACAAACGGTAACTGGCAATTGATAGTCAAAAATTAATCTATTCAGAAAACGTTTTCAAATTATTTTTTTGGCAGCCCCACAAATAAGAGTGCACCCTCCCAAGTCGATGATGTCATCTTTACAAGGTGAGCATCAGCAGCCATTTTGTTAGCTAGCTTGAGGTTAAAAGAGGTTAGCCGCGTGCAGCTGTATTGATATACTCGCTTTGGTGGTGAAATTGCGTCGAAGTCGATAACTCGTCGAAGTTGTTATTGACGTACAGTTTTCGGCCACGTGCTCGTAAGCACGAGGAGGAGTCGTGTATTTGTTGACAGCGCGTTGTAAAACTGGTCGGCCATTCATTTTTCGAGCTGACTTGAGTGTGCTAGCTCAGTGGCTAGCTGGCTAACTTGTTTACGAGTGTCATTTCTGGCAAAGAAAGCGTCCCGGCTTTCATGCCACCAGCTGTTAAACGCGAAAGAGTCGCAGAGTGACTGTTTCACGCAGTTCGCGTGTCTGCGCTTGTGTTACATTAGCTTCGCGCACAGTTAACAGAAGTAAACTAAAAGCCAGGGGCAGATCCGCTCGCACCACTCCGGTGTTTACTGATAACTTGAGCTCTCTCAGCTGACCGTGCTTGGACCAGAGCTCAGCCATCCTGGACACCATGTCAGAGCTTTACATTCGGGTGGCTGAGGAAGAAAATGAAGAACCCATGGAGATCCCGTCAGAGGACGATGGCACTGTTTTGCTGTCATCTGTAGCAGCGCAGTTTCCAGGGGCTTGCGGGTTGCGATACAGAAACCCAGAGACCCAGTGCATGAGGGGAGTCCGGCTTGTGGAGGGTGTCCTGCACCCACCGGAGAACGACTGGGGAAACCTAGTGTACATTGTCAATTACCCCAAAGGTATGCCAGGTGTTTGTGTCATTATAAACATGTAAGCAAATTGACAACCCTGCCCACAAACTGCCTGTTAAGTTGATTTGACTATAACTGGTTAAAAGTACCAATACATCGTATTACAATTAACGCTTTAATGCTCGGGATTGGTCCAAATTTGAACATAAAGGTGTTGTTCATATTGTAGTGAAGCTGCTTTGCCCAACACCTGCGCTGTATTTTAACTCGTATAAAAAATGTTTGTGACTGTACAGTAGTATTATATTACAAAATTCAGCAGCATCACAAACTGGAGCCTCCAAAAGATACTTTAAAGAGAGATTACTGTATTAGATTGGTCTAAAAAAACACAAATGACACCAACAAAAAACATTGTGAGGCAGGTGACTGAACTGGATTAAAGCTCTGTATTTAATAGCTTGCTTACTGAATGTGATCAAATCCTGCAGCAAGGTTGTGACAACTGTGGAAAATTATAACAGATTAGTTATTGCTGTTATGGCAACATGTTATTGAAATAGTGAACACAGTTGTATTTCGGTTTTTTGTTTGTTTGTTTGTTTGTTTTTAATTTAGGGGAGCTTTGTAAATATATAAGACAAGGGTTTTTTGATTGCTTTTTTCTCACTGGCATGATTTATTTATTCTTCATAGATAACAAAAGAAAGATGGAGGAAATAGACGCTGCCACAGTTGTGAAAATTAAAAGGGGCTTTCAGAAGACATCGGATCTTATTGTCCTCGGGTTGCCATGGAAAACAACAGAACAAGACCTCAAGGATTATTTCAGTACCTTTGGAGAGGTCATCATGGTGCAGGTATTGATGTGTCATGTGACTGTGACTGTTTTCTCAGTTCTTTTCTAGACATTGAGCGCAACAAGGGTATGACTTTTGTTTGTGTATTAATGAATTTGCTCACTTCGCCCATTTTCAGGTGAAGAGAGATGCAAAAACTGGCAATTCAAAAGGTTTTGGGTTCGTCCGGTTCACCGACTACGAGACGCAAACCAAAGTCATCGCTCAGCGACACATGATTGACGGGAGATGGTGTGACTGTAAACTTCCCAATTCAAAGGTGGGTTGGGCACGATTTTTACCGTGTCTCAAAGAAGTGCTTTGGTAGAAATTGATTTCTTCAGTGAATAAGGTTTGGTATAAATTCATTTTTAGGTTTATATGTAGGCTTACAGCACCTGTTACTGCTTGTTGATCTGTGTCACACGTTCACATGCATTCACTTCAGATAAGGATTGGGTTTCCACACTTACAAGCAGGCGTTTTAAAGTCATCGCAGTGGATTTTTTAAAAAAACGTTTAACACAGGTTACAAATGTTGATTAGATTTTGTAAAACTGAATCTGGATTGTTGAGCAGCATGACTTAAAATGAAATGGTGGTGCCCGTTCTTCCTTTCAGGCATGTCCCGATGAGCCGATGCGCAGCCGTAAAATCTTTGTTGGTCGCTGCACAGAGGACATGACAACCGATGATCTGAGGCAGTACTTCATGCAGTATGGTGAAGTCACAGACGTCTTCATTCCCAAACCTTTCCGGGCGTTTGCTTTTGTCACATTTGCTGATGACCAGGTAAGAGTGACCTTAAATGACGGGCTTTGAATATGAGTAGATGGTATTATACAGGAAGAGTGAGAAAGACCTAATATGTATGTTTAGATAAAACAAAAATCTATAATGTCAGTAATTATATGCATATAAGTTTGGTGTAGTAGTGGAAAACATGAGAGCTCAATTACAGATTTATACTGTAAATACCTCATGATACCTGGTATTTATAGTGTACGGAGTATTTATTTACCTGTAAGGAAAAAAAAGATACACAGACTTAGTAACTCATTTCTTTCTCAGGTTGCCCAAGCTCTGTGCGGAGAGGACCTGATCATCAAGGGTGTCAGTGTGCACATCTCCAATGCTGAGCCCAAACACAATAATAGTAGGCAAATGATGGATCGAGGGCGTTTTGGGGCTGGTGGGTTCAATCAGGGCTATGGCAGTAATCGCGGTGGACTAGGCAGCGGTAGCGGAGGGGTTAACTTCGGGGCTCTCGGTCTAAACCCAGCCATGGTCGCAGCTGCTCAGGCAGCGCTGCAGAGCAGTTGGGGAATGATGGGCATGCTGGCTAACCAGCAGGGTCTGACCACAACGGCAGGCACAGCCACTACAACCAGAGACCAGACCTATAGCTCTGCGAGCACCAGTTACAGCAGCCCAAACTCAGCTAGCCTTGGTTGGGCTGCGGGCACTAACACGGCCTCCAGCAGCGGCTTCAGCTCTGGCTTTGGTGCATCTATGGAGTCTAAGTCTTCTAGTTGGGGAATGTAGATAGCTAACTCTTTCTGTTGCTATAAGGCTGACCTGGTAAGTATACATATGAGGGGGAATGGCTTAGATATTATGTTATTTAAAAAAGAAAAAATACACTGCCTTTTATTTTGTTAAAGAGGAAATTTATACTTGTGTGTGACTTACGTAGTCATGCATTGAATGGGTGAGAAGTGTAGTTTGTTAGTGGAAGCTGCCACACTACCTGGTTTTGTTTTTTGAGAATATGTTACACAAATTTACTGTGCATGCAGGATAAAATAATTTATAAACATGCACGAGTATCTCAAGAGCCCCCTGATTGCCTCTTGTGAAATGATGGGCTTTCTATAATTACATATAAGTATATATATATGTATGTATGCATTTGATTTTATCTTTGTTTTTGTTTGACATCTTTTGGAAACGCCTTCATGGAAATCTCTTCTGCAGTTCACCAACTCTTTCCCAATTTCCCGGGAGGAAGCGCCTCATTGGCAGCAATGTTCGACAGATCTCAGTATCATTTCCCCTCCTCCCATGTGTAAATGCTTTGTCATCCAAGAACACAGCTTCACTCTGCATATACTGTATTAGACGGTGGGTGTTGTCTTTTTTTCCTCTCCCCCTTTTTTAATTTTTTTTAATTTTTGGGATATAGAAATTTTGTCTGCTGTTGTCACTTTTTGAGATCAGTGAGTGGGATTGGTGTTGGCCCGAGTGAGAGTGAGCGAACGGGAGAGCGAAATGAAAGAAAGCGGTGTGAGTAGGACTGTTGGTGCGGAGTTTTTTCTTTTTTTGTTGTTTGTTTTTCTTTTGGTTTGTTTTGTTTTTTTAATTCAAAAGAGACAAATGCCTGCGAGAGTTGAGAAGAACCTGTGGCTTTGTGCGAGTGTGAGAGGAAGAAACCAGTACGAGTGTGTTCACCATGGCCATCACAAGGACATTTATTGCATCTCGAGATCCCTACGGTCTCTTTCTCTCATTGTTTTCTATCAACCTTAAATCTTTAAAATCACAGTGAAATGTCAAGTGCTATGAGTATTTGTATCCTTTTGTAGCCTTCTCCTGCTATCTGATTTGACGTGAATGCTGTGTCTGGTTGTGTGCTTTACTTTCTCCTTGTTACCACCCTCTCTGTGTGAAAATGTGACCTTGTGCTAGTGAAGTCTGTGTGGGTGGGTGGGGTTGCGGGACACTGAAAGAGTGCTGAAGTTTGAAAGCGAGCTCAGAAGTTGATGTGGTGAATGTTTGACAAGTTCCCATTGAAAGTTTGTGTTTGAAGTGGTTACGAATGCATTTTCTATGTTTTGTGAATAAAGGGAAGTCTGAAATAAAATTGAATTTGACTAGGTATAATGCCCTCTTGATAGTCAATTATTTTTAACTTACTTTACATTAATTGAACTGCCAACACTTTAATTCACATGTATAGGGACCTCGGACACGGAAAGCCCAGGTTTTCGTCTGAGTGAAGGTTGGAGTCAGTTGCGTGGAAGACGAAGCCTTTGTTGGGTGTGCCGGTGCAAACCACAATGAACCTTAATCCTGAAAAGGATCTTCTTCACCTCACTTGCAAGAAACCTTGGACCACCAAATTTAGAGCGGACCATACTCTGTGACAATCAAGGTATTTTTGGGTTTTTTTGTCATACATAAAGATGTCACAGTTGGGACGAAAGTAACACCTGCTGCTTGGCAGCGATCATTCCTTTGTCTGGTCCCCAATCTGTGAGACAGGTCTTGCCTTTCTAAAACTGGGTGTTTGTCAGTAAACACTTTATTCTTTTGTCTCCCAACAGTCACTGACATCAAAGTATTAACCAGTCGGGTGTTTGATGTGGTTAAAAATGATATCGGTGTAGCAGGAAGCTGTCTAGTTCTGTTTACCTTGATTGTTAAGTGACTGAAATGTATCACCTGGCTGTTCTTTTTCTTTTTTTCATCAAAGGGACTTAACTGACTGAACAGCAGCAATTCACACATTGTATTCTGACATATTAGTATTGCATTGTTAAATAAAGGTTTGGAGTTTTTAATCATTGTGGTCTCTCAATGTAGATAAAATGTGACTTTTTTTCAGGCCATAATCTCTAGTTTTCCTTGCTTTTAATCCATATCTCTTTTTAGGATTTATTTGAAAACACGGATACAATTCAGATTTAGTCTTTTTGTTAAAACGGCTCTAGCATCCTGCAGAAAGCTAGCTCATATATAATGTATATAGAAGATTGACTATATAAACAGACTCTTTTACAGTCTTTGTTGGTGGATGTAATTTATATTTCCCTCCTGATGATGGTGCTGTTGTACAGTTTTTGCTGATTGTTGGACAGGACTCTCACATCCCCTTCATATATTAAAATTTGTTGATACTTTCCATTTTTAAACGGCTGTAAGAGTTTGTGAAAATTTCTCTGCACACTCAAGACTACTATGAAACTAAACGTACAAATCATCAGTTGACAATCAGGAATGCGTCTCTAAAGGTTGTATTTATGTGAAAGCAGGTTGTTGTTTTTTTCCAAAAACAACTTTTATCTAAAATCTTTTACACTCTAAATTACTTTTAATAATGTGTGGAAACCATGTGTTTTTATGGGCTGTCTGACAAGATTTCTGCAAACTTATTTTTGGTGTGAAATTATTTGAGATGAGCTCATTAAAACTGTACATAAATGCAGAAATTGTGATTTATTTATTTTTTTAAGAACTGAAAAAGGGCATCAAAACCAGATCAGTTTAAGTTTTACCTAAAAAAAATTAAATGAATAACAGAGAAGTCTGTACATCTCTCAGAATTACTCTGCAATAATACCAGAAGTACAAGATAGTGGGTTTAAATATTTTCTTTGTGCTTAAACATAACACAGCCATGATCTTTAAAAGGTCCTCCTAGAACTCAAATTCCCCATAGAGAATAACCTTTCTCACAGTGTGATTTAATGTGGTTTCTCCCACTGCAAGCAGGTTGCAAAGGTTTTCCAGAGGAATTTGTCTCAGCCTGATCTTTTCCAGGATGCAGTCTGGTTTCTGAGAGTGCTCTCTGCTGTATTGTCAGAGGTATGCACCAGGACTGTTTATCTGAATTAAACAAATGGGTCCATGAGAAAAAATTCTGTATTTTCATATGACTTGCAAGCAAAATTGTACCTAGATTTTTGTTTTTATAATTTAAATTAAAGTGGAGAACCAAGTGTGCATACGCCCAAACCTCTTGTTCCATCAGTCCCAGGTTGTCAGTGGTTGGTGGAGCGTAATATTGACGTACCAGACAAAATAATCTCACTCTTACTACACCTGCTGCACTCAGTCTCAGTTAGTTAGATCATATTTTAAGCCCTGCAGCCTCATTCATACACCCTCAAGCGTGACGCACTTCCAATTGACGTCAGTTCGATCCAAATTAAACCTCTCTCCACGTACCCACGCATTTTTATGGGTTTTTTTTTGTGATTTATTGTGATGTAAGCACAGAGTTCAAAGCTGTTTCTTCTGTTCTGCTATTCCTATAAGTAATTTGGAAATTTTACACAACATTTAGAAAGCATAATCTATCATTATGTTTTGTACTTGTATTTAATTTGCTTTATGTCACGAAGCAGAAGTATTCAAGCCTTTAACACTTAAGAGTTGTGACTTTCTGTATTTGTATTATCTCAATAACAATGAGCCACCACTGCATTGTGTGATAACTTCTTTCATTATAACCAGTTTGTAATTTACTTTAATGTACTTGACTACAATAAACGTTCAAGTTCTAAAGAAGAATTTTTAAAAAACTAAAATCTTCTGCCTTTTAAATTAAGCAAATTAACTGTAACGAAGCTTTGCCAGCCAGTATTTTAGTACACAAGCACAATTACTGAGCTGCTTGCTTTTTAAGGGCCCATGAAACCACATAAATTTTCAGCACTGGACCCGTATGTAAAATGCTGTTTTTAATGTGTCTTAAATGATTTATAGAAATGATTCTGATTTGGGGTTTGATCTTGACTAAAATCAGTGTTGACCGTCATCCAGTCCTCCTCCTCCTCCTGCATCGTCATCACGCTGTCTGGTGTCTCCTTGGTGCCTGCTTTGTCTGCACATGACTCAGAGGTGTCATCTTGCACCTGCCCTGCCTTAACTGAGCTCTAACAGCCTCTTGTGCTCTAATGCAACCCCTGCATGGCGTCAGGCCGCATTAAGAATACAAGGCCCTATTGTAGCGAGCTTCGCTCTGATAATAAAGCTGCATGTTTATGGTACTCGAAGTGTATATATGTAGTTAAGCATTGAAATGACGCAGTTTATATTGTTTTTGTTCTGCTGTGTACCCTTTCAGGATCAAAGCTCTGACATGAAGAGTCAAATGAGCTCTTTGAAGCGTCCCAAGATGGCCAAATGAAAGCCTGATGTTAACATCAATATGGTAATCACCAAAGCTATTGCAGCGCAGGTGCACTGAGGCGAGGCTTTGTTTACTGTTTAGCAGCAGGTGTAATAACAGCTGTGACACACTCCTGTCAGGTACAACAACCATCACTGCTGTACGAGTTAAAGCAGTCTTGTTAGCACAAGACTCTTTTTAGAGCGGCTGGGAATTTCCTGACAAGCCTGAAGTGCTTAAAGGATTACATTTTGGTTTTTTGGGTTGTTTTTTCTTTTAAATCAAGATTGTTATAAAATACACTTTATGAACGTAGAAACTGAGGTGAGTAATTCTGGAGAGTTGAATGTGTTTAAGGTGAGAAGGTGTTTTATGCTTCTAATGGGCAGCTAACTGTAGACCAGTACAGGAAATGAAGGTAATTTCATCAGGCCCCAATCAGCCCAAATAGCAAAGAGAAATTAAAAATTATTACCTTTAAAAGAGTTCAGATCTTAGGAGGTTGAATATTCACACTCACTTCATTAGATGTACCTTACTAGTACTGTGTCGGGCCCCCTTTTGCTTTCAGAAATGTTTTAAGTCTCTGTAGCACAGATTCAGGACGGTGATGGAAAAAGCCTTCAAGATTTTGGTCCTTATTGACATGATTACAGCACATCGTTGCTGCAGGTTTCTGACATGTACATCCGGGATCTGACTCTGTTTCAATTCAATTCAATTTTATTTATATAGCGCCAAATCACAACAAAAGTCGCCTCAAGGCGCTTCATAGGTAGGTTCATAGGTTTCACTGCATCCAAAAGGTGCTCTTCCTGTCTGAGCATTGGTGACTGTGGGGGCCATTTGAGTACAGTGAACTCGCTCAGACCAGTTTGAGATGATTTGAGCTTTGTGATAGGGTTATATCCTAATGGAAGCAGCCATCAGGTACACTGTGGATAAGGTGAAACAATGCTCATTTGATACTAAAGAGCCTAAAGTGAACTCTATAATAACATTACACCACCAGCAACCTGAAACACTGACACAACTCCATGCTTTCATGTTGTGTATGCTGCCCACTGTCTCTGGAAAAGTGTTGTTTTAAGCACTTCTTTGAGAACTACTTCTGCTGCAGCAGCCATTGTCTTGCCAAAAAACGACCTTC